TATTTCTAATTGTCCATTTCTCATTTAGTTTTTGTCCTTTTTTCAATAGTTTAAAAACCGTGAGCTAAAAAATTGACAGTATTTCGTCAGAACTACCCGGTTTTCGGCCAATCCCCCAGCGTGGGTTTGTGCCACAGTTTCCAGGCACTTCCTTCCTTCCTACTACACAAAAATTATGATTATTTATAACGTAGTAGGTACCGGCAAGTGTGCTCGTAGCAGTTACCCAAAGGGTGTTTAGAAAAGGCTCTGAAAAGTCGCTCTTCCACCTCCCGCTGTAACTGTGCTGAGCGTTACGCGCAGGCCTGGCGTTTTTGGTAGGAACTGGTAAAATTCGTCACGGGATTCTGACATCGCTGCTCAGTCAAACGTGATGCCCTAAGGTAAGATATACCTAATCTCGCCTTATTCGCGGCCAATCTTCATTAGTGCTTGCTTACTGCGTAGGCTAGCCTTGCCATATCTGTCTAGTCGTTTATTTACCAGCACTCTCTCAAGTGGTTATATCAGAAGAAAAGTGCCGAACCCGTAACTGTTTTTCCTTATGAGGACACCTCGACAAGTCGACACAGGGATGGGGTACGGGGAATAAAAGGTATATGAAGAATAACATAGCAGAAGACCACCCAGTAGTGCGTGCAAGAGGACGTGTTTTCACAACATTACCTAAATAGGTGGTGTTGGTTTTCATATCCTAAAGCCACCACGTAACTTCCGGTCGCCGTCGCCCTGGCATAAACGTCACCTGTGACGTCATACCACCACCGTACGAATGAACACAGTGTGAACGACGGAAAAGGTTTCTGCGCGGCGTTCATTACGCAACGATCGGCATTTTGCTGCTGCTGCGTCAGCGGTTGGTCCGTGTGACTGGGGGAACAGGGTGGCTGGTAAACGCTTGGCGGTTCTGGCTATCCTCCCAGCATGACTGCTGTCGGACGGGGCTCCGAGTCGACAGTGCTGTGCCGTTCTCCGAATGACGTCATTCGAGGTCACGTGACTCTCACGCACTCGACGGAAACCGGAAGTTATGTTGCTGTGCTTTCTAGGTTACACTGCAGGATGTGCCTTGGACAAGTAGAAAACCACCCTAACAAGCAAGTAACAACCAAACGTGCAAATAAAAAATACGGAATGGAAGATGCCAGACATTAGTTACAATCAACCATACGCCGGCGATATAGCGCTGGTACAGAGAGCAAGTAAAGGGGCTGTAGCTTTGGCTAATTTGTTTTTTTTTTTTACATACTGCAGGCCATTCTCCGTCCATGTAGGAGTGGGAATAAGAAAAAAATACATCCATAAACAACAAACAGAAAATAAAAAAATACTTTGTCAACAACTCAATTCAAATACGACACACTGTATTAAGCTCATGATTGTATGAATGATGTTACTACACACAACATTATTGTCTAATCTGACTCATTGGTGAATAGCTGGCGGAAAAAGGGAATGTTTATGAGCCGAATCTTGGCCAAATGTCGACCACTATCGGTTAAGGTAGTTATAGTGCCGGCTGAACTATAATGAATAGCGTTGAGTGGCTGACATCGGCTTATCATAGTAGCAAACGTTGGCCAGTGTTGGTACATTGAAGTACACTATGCTGTTGGCTCACTACCGGAAGGATATGGCTGGTGTTGTTGATTAATATGTGGGGTTTAACGTCCCAAAACCACCCTATGATTATGAGAGACGCCATATTGGAGGGCTCTAGAAATTTTGACCACCTACGTTTATTTAAAGGTCACCCAAATCTTAGCACACGGGCCTACAGCATTTTCGCCCCCATCGAAAATGCAGCCGTCGCCGCCGGGATTCGATTCCACGACCTGCGGGTCAGCAAGCCGAGTACCTTAGCCACTAGACCACCGATGCGGGGCTGGCTAGTATTGTCGCGTATGTTGGCTTACACTTCGAAAATTTTGGCCAGTGCTGCCAAGCACTGGCTAAATGACAGCTGTAGTTGGCTGACGAATGACAATTATCAGCTGGCGGTAGGGGGGATGCAGTGGTGTAGTTGGGGAGGGGCAACTGCTGGTTTGACTCGAAGGGGGAAAGTGTTCCTTTTGCGCAGGGTTGTTTTCATTCAATTTCAATCCCACGTTCACCTCGCATGTACCGAAAGCTACACGAGTCTGTTCTGAATTTATATTACATTTGTTCCCTAATTCTGAAAAGTGTGTAGTGCTAGTTCAACGCGAAATCGAGTACAATACATGACCACCTTCGCGTTCCCAAAGTGCTCACAAGAGCTTCTGGAACTTCTGAACCGTCACCGTTTGAAAAACGAAACATTCGGAAAGGAAATAAGCAGACGTCGCAACAGTACACCGTCTGCAAAACCGAAGCAGACGACGCACAAACAGAGGTACACGAAAGATCGCCCCCGCGACAAGAAGGAATCCAGCCAGGCGCGACTAATAGCGCTTGAAAGTATAATGAGGCAGATGGGGCCACCCGGCCTGCCCGCGAGACGGATGATTAATTTCATTCGGCAAGAACCTATTACCTCCTGGAGTAAAGGCAAAAACGGCCGTTCTCTTTGATGTCTCTCGCGCTGAATTCAAGCGGACAAATTATTTCAACACACCACACACACTTGCATGCACCGTTTGGAAGGTCGATTCGCGATAAAATGTGCCGAACGACGTTGAAGGTTCCCAAGAATTTGTGGAGACAACGACTTGAACCCTGCGCCGCGGATATGTAAAGACTTACACCAAATTTATATGGGAACCGCGGTAGGATTTGTTACAACCCACAAAGCGCTATACGGGCTTGTCCCGAGCAAAATCATTCTATGTTGAGAGAAAATGTAAGGGAAAAGGCCTGCGAAGGTGAACTTCGTGTTGAACAGTTTCGTGCAAACACCATTTGCATGATTCTGGCACCGCTTCGATTTGACGGTAGCAAGCTTGAATTCGAAGTGACAACGAATCAGCGTTATCAAGATCGTCTGGAATTAAGAGCAGCAGACGACAAAAGAACTGTTAAACAAAAATCATTTCCGGCTCACTAAACGCAGCCGCCGATCCACAGCCTACACTTTTTGCAATTGGGAGCCCGTAGCGCTGACGTGATGTGGATACACAAGAAACTTCTAGAGCATTACGAACAAGAAATGCACGTTCCCCCCCCCCCCCCCCCCAAAGAAAGGCCTATTTCTCGCGACAAAGTAACGAACAAACAAGAGGGGGTAAAACTGAGGAAAACGAAGGAAAGCAGAACTACTGGAACAGCCCCGCACCCCCTTTTTGCTCCCAGCGTACCCGCCACCCACACTGGCGTCGTTTATTGATTCTACTCGCCGCATGCAATGACAGTTACAAACACTGGATTACACACACACAGACACGTACACACACACACAGAGCACACACACACGCGAGTCATGCGCGGGTCTAACAGACTGCGACACATCGGCGTGTAGCCTGCCGTGACAAGTGTGTCAAGAAAGAACAAAACAGTCCCGACGCGTGCTCTCCGATCATCACACGACACGGTCGTGTCAAAAAAGCGCCCATCCCTCTCACTCGTTCGCACTTTCTCTCGCTAGCGAGAGATTTCTTTTTTCTCTTTTTCCACGCGTCCTCTACACCACACAGTAGCTGAAATGCGGCGAACGCGAAAAGATGGGTCTCTTCTTTTCTTTTTTTTTTATTCTTTAGCCCTGCTCCCGTACTCGCTTTCGGACTCCCTCCTCCAAACGGTTTGGTCTGCGCATCGCCTTCAAGATGAAACCGCACGCATTAGGCCCGCATAGAGCGAAAGCGTGCACTATTTGGTTTCACCGGGAGAGCAACGACGGATGCAGATGCGCATTACCCCCGAGTGGGTGGGTAGAAATGAGGCGATGCTGCATCACAGATGGAGGCACCCAAAAACGGAGACGCGGTGAGACTTAAAAAAAAATAAATAAATAACGGAGACCGTTAACCTAACGGTGAAGCGCACGGATGGTTAGAGAATCGTCGACTATCGGAGAGGGGTAGCCGGATCGCCCTGCCCCTTTGGTACTCGATCCGGCAACCAATAATAGCGGCAGGCAGGGCCAAGCAAGGCGGGCGAACAGTCAGAGCCCAAACGCGCGCAAGAAAGATGTACGAAAGGGGTTTTTCTTCACTTACATACGAAGACGCCACATGAAGAAGTCGCCACCAGCGTCCGGTGAACTAATCAGGCTGCGACTTGCGGAGAGCTTTCCTTCTATCGATTCCGCCGGCAGGACTAATAATGGCGCTGGTGATGGGTCAAAACTTTTTGTATCAAGATGCTGTTTTACAAACAAAAATATGTATTCCAGCTAGTAGTTAATCCCAAATTACACAAATTACTAATATATTACTGAGAAATAAGTTTTTGTCAACCACACGCTTTAGGCTACGTTTATTGCAGAGTTTGTGCTACAAGTCTCAAAGGCTACAATTCAATTTCAAATTTGGTTACAAATCTCAAAGGCTACAGTTTTAGGCTTTGAACTTTGAAAAGTAATCTCGGGTAAATTGGATAAGTGGATATCATTTATACATGACCTTCTAGTGAAAAGTGTAGCGTGAGCAGAGTCTTCACGTATTTATTTATTTATTTATTTATTTATTTGCTTATTACCTTGAGCTGTTCACTACCAAGGACGAATTTCAGTTTATGAGTACTAAATATGCTCAATATGTCACGGTCGGCAAGATTTGGGTCATTATGCGCATAGAGTTTTATACGATAACCCTATGAACCATGCAATGGACATTAATTATTAATGGAAAGTCTAACTATTTAGAATGAACAAGAAACAACCAAACGCTTACAATAACAATCGCACTACTGTTGTTTAAATACAGATTTTGTTTATCTTAACCAACGTTACTAGATTCTAGTAACGTTGATCTTAAGCACAAAATTAGATAGTACTTTAACAACATGTATACTGCCTAGAATGGCCCGCCGCCTACAGTTAACGCACACAAATTCGAAAGTAAAAGCCATTTGCCAGGCCTGGCTCAAGTTCAACATGGAGGCAGCGCTGGCGAGTTATCGTCGCCGGCTAGTAAAGTTGAAACTGTTCGCGTGAAACCAATTCCCCAGACTCGAAAGGACGCGCTTAGCGAATAGTAGTGGAAAACAAATTCAGTCCCAAGCTGACGCCGACGGCCAATCATGTCGCAGCACCGAGCGCTGTCGCTAGTACGCGGCGCCTTGGGCTACAACCTTCACAAGTGGAGCACTTCGCCGCGCCTCAAAGCATGCCACCGCCGTCGATATCACACGCTCGGTCCGCACTCCAGACACCACCGTCTAAGACTGTACGCCGCCACCACGAACCTCCAGAGCGCCCGAAACGTCGCGCTAGTGGCCAGGATTCTTCGCGGCGTCCTGAAGGTCCGATACAGTCGTGCTGGGTTCGGCCGTCGCCGGAGGGGCGCACGTCTCCAAGAAGTACGAGGAGTTTAAGGACAACCTCCCAGACTTGGGGTGGATCAAGGATACGCTGCCCGATCGGGACAGCTTGGACAGGTTTCGCGCATCCCTGGCCGACATGAAAGGCAAGCTGGGCATACCCGAGAAAGGGTTGTTCAGGACCGGTGCTAACGCGGCCGCTAGCGGTCTCGCCAGCATCGGTGAGTGGCTTCAGAGCGTCAAGTTCGAGAGCTCGCCTAGCGTCGCGCACAACGGCTTGGACGACTTCGCCACCGCCTTGGCCGTCGCGCCGCTCTTCTCGTCGCAGCAGCAGGAAGAAGAGCGCCGTCAGAACGAGCGTGAACGCATGCAGAAGCTTCAAGACGAGCTTATTCAGGTGAATGGTGTGAAATGTGGTTTGGCGAACTGAATGAATGGCGCGAGAGAGTTGACGTCAACCGATCGATCGATCAATCAATGAATCAGTTTTTACGTTTTAACAGCACAAGGTGAGAATACACAGAGGCGAAGGAGGCCCTGTAATGTAAAATGAATTGGGAACTCCTGTACTCATGCATAACTGTTTGATTAGCAAGTCAGGAGCAAAGTTAGTACACTTAAAAATTTATAAATCATAAGCTACTGACGTAATCCCATGATTGCATTAACATCAACACCGTATCGGCGGGAATTTAAACTACATACAAATAACATTGAAAAAAATTAAAGGATTAACATTAAAGAAGAAGTGGTGTTGGCTGCTCATTGGTTTCTGATGGCCTGAAATAAGTGACTGTTGATAGTACTGTCTTTTTTCCCCTGTAACCCATCCTCGCCAGGTCGCAAACATTTCTAACTAGCTTGTTCCTTCATTCATCCATCCTAAGATTGGCTCCTACGTTTCAAGAATGCACATATTGGTTGTTCCATTACCCAATACTGATGTTTCAAACTTGAGCGCAATCACTTTACTACAAAGCAGAGGGTATTTCATATATATCAGTGGTATGATAAGAGAGAGCACATGATTTAGTGTGGAGTGCCAGCTAATTTGCATGAACATGGAGCAGTGTAACGGTGGCAGTATTCATAATTGCGTGATTATGCTGCATACATTTAATCTCCCCTGAAGCATGGGACTGTTACATTTGCATTAAAAATTGATAATGCTAAAGTGGCTTCAACTTCAATAGTAATTATGACAGATGAAACTGTGCTTCATGTGAATAATGTATCTTTTCCAATTGAAATTTTATTTAACAAAAAAAATCAGTCCTTAGATTTTTGGTTCTTTTCGTAATGCATCCATTGCGACCTGGAGAAACATGAGACTGCTTGGCTTATCTTTGTCAGCGAACAGATAGGAGCAAACACAATGCACAGAAAATACCTTGTCAATTGGGTTAAGATGTGTGGAAAGCATTAGCAGGGCATGCTAAGGAAATGGAAAATGTTCCTTTTCTGATTCCTCGAAACATGACAGTACTCCTTTAAGCATAGCTTCTAAGGAAAGTCTCTAAAGTAGGCAATGACAAACAGTTTATTTATCCACTACAGGTGCAGATGAAGTACCAGAAGGAGATCGAGCGTCTGGAAAAGGAAAACCGGGAGCTACGACGCCAGGTGATGCTCAAGTCAGAGCAGGGAGTGAGTCGACGCAAAATAAAGAAGTCCCTCATTGACCTCTACTCGGAAGTCCTAGACGAGCTCAGTGACTATGACTCCAGCTACAACGTCCAGGACCACCTTCCTCGCGTGGTCGTTGTTGGTGACCAGAGCGCCGGCAAGACGAGTGTTCTTGAAATGGTGGCACAGGCACGAATATTTCCGCGTGGCGCCGGCGAGATGATGACCAGGGCACCGGTCAAGGTGACGCTCAGCGAAGGGCCATACCACATTGCCAAATTTAAGGACAGCTCGCGAGAGTTCGACCTAACTAAGGAGACCGAGCTGTCAGACCTCCGGAGGGAGGTCGAAGTGAGGATGAAGAACAGCGTCCGCGGCGGCAAGACCATCAGCACCGACGTCATTTCCATGACCGTCAAGGGTCCCGGGTTGCAGAGGATGGTCCTTGTAGACCTTCCAGGTATCATCAGCACGGCGACAACAGAGATGGCAGAAGGCACCAAGGACGCCATACGAGAGATGACAAACCTCTACATGAGCAACCCCAATGCTATCATCCTGTGCATCCAGGATGGCTCTGTAGACGCTGAGAGAAGCATTGTCACCGACCTTGTCAGCCAAGTGGATCCAAATGGTCGAAGAACCATCTTTGTCCTTACCAAGGTAGACCTCGCTGAGCAGAACATGGCCAACCCAACTAGAATTCGCAAGATCCTTGATGGGAAACTGTTTCCCATGAAAGCGCTTGGGTACTTTGCCGTTGTAACAGGCAAGGGCAGTGCGGAAGACAGTATCACAGCAATCAAAGCCTATGAAGAGGCCTTCTTCCGTAACTCCAAGCTGTGCCGAGACGGTATTCTGAACATGTCACAGTGCACAACACAGAGCTTGAGCTTCGCCGTGTCCGACTGCTTCTGGAAGATGGTGCGGGAGTCTGTTGAGCAGCAGGCTGACGCCTTCAAGGCGCAACGTTTCAACCTGGAGACCGAGTGGAAGAACAGTTTCCCTAGGATGCGGGAGCTTGACCGCGACGAGCTGTTTGAGCGATCCCGTGGGGAACTGCTAGATGAAGTAGTCAACCTGAGCCAGCTGAGTCCCAAGCACTGGGAGGAAGTGTTGTCGAGAAACCTGTGGGACTGCATGTGTGGTTATGTTGTCGACAGCATCTTCCTGCCTGCTGCGCAGACCGGCAATGCCGGCAACTTTAACACAGCCGTTGACATCCGACTCAAGCTCTGGGCCGAGCAGCTGCTGCCCTCGCAGTCCGTGGACGTGGGCTGGGAGACACTACGGGACGAATTCAATGCACTCCTACAGAAACGGAAAACAGCAAAGGACCATGACACACTCTTCGACCGTCTCAAGGAGGCCGTCGTCAAGGAAGTCCTTGACCGGCACGTCTGGGAGGACAAGGCTGTTGACATGCTTCGCATGATTCAGCTCAATGCACTGGAAGACCGCGTGGTGCACGACAAGCACCAGTGGGACCAGGCAGTCCGTTTCCTGGAGACGACACTCCAGCAGCGCCTGCAGACAGCCGAAGCTCGGGTCAAGGACATGGTCGGTCCAGGAATTAAAGAACAATGGCTGTACTGGGCTTCACCCACAGAAGAGCAGAGGCAGAGAGCAGTGGTCAAAGCCGAGCTGGAGCGTCTATTGAACCACGAGTTCCTCCAGAAGCACGGGCCTGCACTGACGCAGGAGGAACTGACGACCGTTCGCAAGAACGTCCAGGCACACGACGTCGACGTCGATTACAAGTTCATTAGAGACACGTGGGAGCCCCTGTATCGCCTGCACTTCCTGCGCCGATCTCTGGCCAAGGCCAACGAATGTCGCAAGGGTTACTACCTCTACCACCAGGGCCTGGACTCTGACCTCGAGTGCCACGACGTGGTCCTGTTCTGGCGGGTACAGCGCATGATGCACACCACGGCGAACGTGCTGAGGCAACAGGTGATGAACCGTGAGGCCCGTCGGCTGGAGAAGGGCGTCAAAGAGGTGCTGGACGACTTCTCGCAGGATCGCGAGAAGAAAGTGGAGCTCCTTACGGGGCGCCGGGTGGAGCTTGCCGAAGAGCTGAAAAAAGTGCGTCACATACAGGAGAAACTGGAAGAGTTTGTCAGTGCGCTAAATGCAGAGAAGTGAGTGCAACGATAGTTTACCTTGAGAAGGGGACTGTTTTAGTTTTTCTCTTTTACATTACTGCTGGGCCTTTGGGGTTACTTAACAGCAGTTGCCGGCATTTTTCAAACTTTGGTCAGATATGAGGCACGATTTTATGCCTCAAAATGCACTCGTAGCTGAGCTAGTCGGTGATAATATGTGAGCTGAGACTCTTAAACGCCTAGGCAACTAAGGCTAACCTTCGGTCTTTTCTTCTTGAAAAGGCTGGTTTATAGCTGACACTTTCAATAGCAACTGCAATATTACATCACACTTGTTTAATTTATACTATTTTGTAAAGTTAGTATATTGCTTAAAAAGATTTAACGCTAAAGGCTTCGAATTTACCTTCACGAAGTAAACTTGGTGTTTGCTACATGTCAACAGTTTATGGCTCTGCGCAAGCACCAGTAAATCTTGGATACTGTCGAAGTAAAGTATGTAAGGATGCACGAGCGAAAAAATAATGTGCCTCGATATGTAGGTCTGGCTTGTAGTAAAAAGGTGAATATTATGTATAGATAATATAGTATGAATTTTGTACATAATACTAGGAGAATGAAAGTTGCCATGTTATGGCTGCCAGCCTGTTGTACTTATTTAAGTGTTTCTGTATTTCAATCGTGCGAAAATAAAATTGAAAATGAAATTACTTCACTATTTTTTATTGGAAAGGGTTATTATAGAAGAAAGTACTATGTTCCACAATCATTCTTGCAGTTGCATGGAAACTGCAGAAACCAGCTGTCATCAGCAATTTCACCTGCACTGTTACAATTATGATTCAACCCTGCATAATGATTCATGTGACAAAAAAAAGAATCTAAGACACTTTCTACATCCAGTAGCATGTGATCAGCAGCATTTCATATATCATTTCGTATATCAACAATCGTATGAGAGAAATGATAAATATTTGATGTTCCATCATGCAGAGACAAACTCCAGTTTAAAACCTTAATGAAACCCGACATTAATAAGTGTTAATATAATACAGTATTGGTTGCATCGCAACTATTTGCAACAACACTATGCAGGAAATGAGTAGGAGCCTCAGTATTTGGCTGTTCCATAAAAAATTGCTTAAATGTTTTTTTTTTTAATGCGGAAAATGTAGTGCGTTTGCAAATGTTCGAGATCAAATCAGAATCAAGTAATACCACATGACGGTAAACTAGGGCCTCTAGTCATCATCAAGTCGGCCTGGCCACAAAATTTAAGGCCCACGCTCCGCAAGCTTTTAAGTACGGTCAACAGCAAAAGTTTGCAGGATGTGCAGCGCGTGGCTGAGCCATGGAAAAGTACATTGCTGCGCCACCTACTGTGATGCAGGCGTGGTGTCGAGGCTACCGTACGCAGTCCTCGGTGATTAGTAACGGCGCGTTTAGACAACCTGCTGCCGCTGGATCCAATCTCGGAAGTCATGGCCGGTAACCTCAACACCATTATGCACGTCGTGGTAGGTGGCGCATCAATGCAGTTTTCTGCCGCTCCACCACGCGCTGCACATCCCAAAAACATTTGCTGTTGACAGTACACCTCTAGTGTTTCCACTTTCATTGTGCGAAACCCTCGGCACTTGGTATCACACGTGAAAATATGGACATGCTACAGTTGCTACTGGTGAACTACCCAGACAAATTCCAGACTTGTGTCCTGCCACACAATTAGTTTTTTCGGCATATAGAATAACAGCCGTCTTAAACACTGCTAGCAAAAGTTACTCATGAAAGGGATTCGAATAGTAACCAGTCTTTCCAAACAAGAAAAGCTTGGTGTAAATTTTGATATTCCAGCTTTGTGGGCATGAACAAAGCTTTTTACTGCAATACTTTCTTGCATTGCCCTTGTCGCTGTCACTGACGTATCGGTACAATCTGGCATTCCCCCCCCGCAGTGTCACTGACGTGCCGGTACATACTGCTTTATGCGTTCAAAATCTGTGCTTAAGCATAAAACTGGCATGTTTTGCATGGTCCTACTGGTTGTATCATGTTTCGAATCTACCTGAAAGCATGTATTTTCTCTTCTCATTGTGTTGGTACGTGTGTTGAAAAGTGCAAAGCAGCCGCGCCCACCCTTCTTTGCTGAGGGCATGGCTGCCCCGCACGCGCTGCTCGCACATATGCAATGATCATGCCACGTGCATGCGATTACGGGTACAAGTGCTCTTGCTGGAGGTTTGCAGTCCTTTTTTTTCTGTGTGTGTTCTGTTGCTGTGTATGCTGCAGCATGTGAAGTTAAGGGGCGCTTGGTGTAGCCTTTCCGATAGCCAAAAACTTGACTCGATCGCTGGTTTCGCTCACTTGCCACCACCTCACTTTCTGCTATCAGCAGCATTCAAGGCTACTGTATCCCCTTTCTATCCATATTTCTGATCATCCTAGTGCAGGGTAGCCTACCGAGGCTCAGCCCTAGTTAACCTCCCCGCGTTTCTCTTTATTTTCTCTCTCTCTCTTTGGCCCTACAACGCACCATTTCTCTGTTTTCAAGCATACCTGATATTTTTTTAAACCAAGCCCACACTGGGGGTGTGCCACGGCCAGAACCACTTGAGTGGCTAAAGGGTTAAAAACTAGTGATGTCGATCAGTTGTGTTCGTACAGAAAAATCATTCAGGCAGAGATAGTGCATCGCACAAGCATCATTCCCTTAGTAAATAAAGTACACCCTAACACCTGATGCTCAACCGTAACAGCTTCCTTCAGTTTTAAATTAATGCAAACACGTTTGGAGGCTGAAAGAAATTTTTATTATTAAGCTTCCATATATTTGACGTCTACTCAGTGTTGCTGCAGAATTTTGGAGGTTCCTCAATCTAAATTTGTGGAATAGCAAATTTTTCTCTGCATAATGATCAGTGCTTCACAAACGAGTAAGATAATGAGGGTGTTGCTTTCTTATCTAACCTTATACCGTCTCGTTCCGTTGAGAAACTCGCTTTCGCCGCCCCGCCTTCGGTGTGAACCAAGCTTTATTTTACCAAGACTTTAATGAGGTGCCAGCTAGAGGTACTTATTGTGTGAAGCAAACAAGTCTTGTTCTCCTTGGCTCCTATGGGCTGTGAAAGGAGCACCACCCTTGGAAGAACTAGGCATTATAAAGATGTCCAAAGAGTTCCCGAAATTTGTTCTCAGCTTGTGCCATGAGCCATAAGTTCTAAACGTGAAATTACAAGGATGCTAGAACACCCCTGGCCAATGCAATGAGCCAATAAAAATATCTCTCTGAAAAGGGTTCTTGATTGAGGTTGTTGGTTTGTGATAAAAGACATTCATACGATGGCACAAGCAAAAGAATGGTAACAGAAAAAGGGCCAACTAAGCTACTTAGCTGCGCTGTTTGACTATAATAAAAAAGGCCATCATACTATGTGATAAGCTATCCAGGATACTGGAATGCACAATTAACATAAAGGAATACATCTCTGGGATCGCATCATGCGTACATATCACGAGTGATCATACGTTCATTGATGATGACGCCAGCATGAGTCTGCATGAGGAGAATACAAAGGTGTCTTCCAAGTTAATATGTCGAACAATATTTTTTTTTTTGTTCAGGAAAGCTTGTCAATGTACTCATCATTGGTACTTGAGCTGCTTCTGTTGGTCTCGCATCTAAAAGCTCCTCCAGTGACAGCGGCCTCTGCGATCAAGTACATTTTCAGATTTCTTGACAGATTTTGGCAGCATTATTTACAACAGAAACAGGCAGAGGCACAGCACCAGCACTGATGGCAAGAAATAAAAGAATTTAGGCAAGGGGCCGCAATGGCGCAGGAAGGTTGTGGCTCAAAAGTGATTACCACTGACTACACAACGGAAGGCCTACCACAGAGCACCAAGTTGCCTTGCCTTTCAACTGGGGCTTCACCTCTTAGGTCACTCTTGGTTGCAGGCAGCAAAAGAGGAGACCTTTGCTGGAATATACAGGTAAACATGGCAGAATTCCTAGTTTATAAGGAACACCTTGTTGCATCATACATTTATACACCCTAGGTATTTTTTTTAATAGATATGTTAAAGTCGTTGCAAAGACATTAAATAAGGTATCTTATTCAATGCCTTTGCAATGACCTTAAGATGTAAGACAGCAACAACGAACATTGCATACCTGAAAGAACGTTGACAGTCATTTGGTTCTGCTTGTATTTGATATCTATATTCAAAGCTTAATGCACAATCAGTACATGTGAACAATTTCCAGATCTCACACTCTGTTTTTGTATGAATATGGAGTAGACTAGACGTAATACAGCTAAAGCTCAATAATTTGGATTTCATGGGACCGGATAGTCCCACCGAATCGACTCATTTGCAAATGCTCAAAAGTGTGAAGGGGAAACAATAAATAAGGGTATGTTACATCAACGTACTTTCATTTTCTTATAAAACATGTAAACCCAGAAGTTATTTTGCATAAGAGCAGTGAAATCATCATTTGATACTTTCTTCACAATGTGAGCGTGTCTCAGGACCCCCATGTTTTAATCTGAAACGTGTTTTTAACTTGTATCTTATCACGGAGCAACACCACTATTGTCGGTAGCGACCACACCTTTTTCAAAGCCCGCTTTGGCTGTCTGCGAACATTGTTTTGGTTCCTTTTCACCGCACATTTGTGCGCACTCTAAGGATCATCCAAATCAAAAGGGTCGCGGTCAAATATGACCGAATGATAAGAGTTTAATGCCACTAAACAATGCATACACTGGCCAGGACCTGAGAACACGTCCAAATGATTCAATTTTCCAAAGACATGGTGCCAAATTGGCTAGCTTTTAGTGCAAACCTATATCGTGGTATTCATTTTGTTTTAGCCCTGGCTTGTGGATAGCATACACTGGCATATAAAATTCAGAGGTTCAGTGCAACATTGCAGCATTTCTTCACTGCTGTGGCTAAGCGATGCCGCTTTTTGTCCTTCTTTGGCTTTTGCACACATGCACAAGCCTACCGGCAGGCTCAAAGATTGCAACGGATGCAGCGGTTATTGCACGTGCATCTGCTCTCTCACAACATTTACCACTGCACAAGCAAACGTTTTGACATTAAGAGATGAGCAGCCATCAAGAATGTGTGCGAAGTAGACAGAATACGACAATAAACTAGTACCGCTGTAGCGCTGTTCAACAATCGTGAATTGCACTAATATGAGCAGGTTTTCGGGATGCTTGAAAAAGCAGCACAGCAGATGACAGTCATGCATACATAATAATTGTACATGTACATCCACATAAACAAACACACTTATGGAACTCCCATAACGCATAGGTCAACCGATTAGCCTTCCAGTGCATTATGATGGGGTCAGTGCAATGGATGGAGGTCAACTAATCAGCTGACCCAAGCACAATGTTTGCAAATGATCGCTTTGGTGCATATTTATATCCATTCTTCTCTTCACCGTAGTGTTATCTCTTTTCATCTAGAATGCATACAAACACATCAAATGACTTCAGAAACTATTGTTTTCAGCTTGGCCATAGATGCATCACTGTGTATGGACTACAGAGTAGTGAGTTACTGGTAATCCATAGGTCTGTCACATGAGCATGCAAAATTTATTTTTCATTTGATGCTC